TTCAATTAAGCATCTTACTAACTCTATAAATTGATAGATAAATCATGTAAAAACTCATATGTTCAAACTTTTTTCTTTTAGAGAATTACAATTTCAATACTTTCAAAATCATGAACTGCGTATTTGGTTTGACAAAACAAGTCCTAAGAACCGAAAAACCATGTTTGATACTTCGAGTAATTCGAATAATTGCTCGCACGTATGACGTTGAAGCTACAAACTATATGAAATTTTATTTTAGGACGAGGAGGTGTATTTCATTTTTTTTTTTGTTTTACAATTCACGTTCTTATCTAGATAAAACTAATACTGATACTAATATTAATATATTTTACGTTTTATAATTCGTGTTATTATATATAATACGAATCCTAATAATAATATTAATATTAATTTAATTTTTTGTTTTGCTATCCGTGGTCTTATATAGATAAAATAATAATAATGTAGTATTCAAATTAATATAATAACTTTAAGACTTATGTTGCATTTAATTATTTGTTGTGGGGTGGACGATTCACCGGACTTATTCGTGGGGCTAATGTGAAAAAATTGGTAGACAAGGTGAAAGAAGGGCAAGTCTACGTCATTAACAAATAGGAAGTTGAACCGGCTCATTTCGATTGTCAATTGTTAAATACAAAATTATTATCCACAAAATGACTATTTTGGTGAGGTGGAAAGGTAATTCGCCATTTTATTGATTTAAATATCAAAGACTTGGTGGTAACCGTCATGGTCTTCTCCAAGATCAATATGGTTTCTTTGATAGATATTTTATTTCGATATTTATTCTTTTTTACATACCGATATTAGTTTGATAATTTTTTTCTTTATACACATTTTGCATTAACATAATAATTTTTTGTTTTATTTATTGTGTAGATGTTATCGGTATTGTGGTTGAAGTTAATTCGTTCAAATTTAGAGAAGATGGTGTAAAAACTCATAGGGTTATGTTTAAGCTCATAGACATTGAGTAAATAATTTTGTAAATTTAATTTTAAATAAGTGTATCTTATCTACACTTTGCTTTATTAGTTACATAAAATTAAATAAATGATTGAGAGGAACACAATTGACTGCATTCTTTAAGGTGATTACGTTTACCAAATTCTAAAAATTGAAGCTGAACATGGTGCTTCGCGTTTACCACCGGTGATTATCATGAATCTATGTCATACCATGCCGTAGGAATGTATTAAATTAACATGTATTACATCATATATATGTTTAAAATAATAATCACCGGTTGTAAACGTGAAGCACCATGTTCACCTAGTTTTTAGAATTTCGTAAACGTAATTAGTCAACGGATGCATTCAATTATTTTCTTCCTAATTATTTATTTGATTTAATGTAATTAATAAATTGAATTGTAGATAAAATACACTCGATCAAAATTATTACAATATTCTTTACTCAAGGTCCATAAGCCTAAACACAACCCTACGAGTTTTTACTCCATCAACTTCTCTAAGTTTTGCCTAACTAACTTCAATCACAAAGACCAATAACATCTACACAAAAAATAAAAAATATTATATTAATGTTAAACGTGTATACATAAATAAATTTATCAAACTAAAAATGATATGTAAAAGGAATAAATATCGAAATCAAAATATTTACCAAATAAACCATATTGATCTTGGCAAAGACCGTGATGTACACCACCAATCGTTTAAATTCAAATTGATAAAATGCAAAATCACCTTTCCACCTCACCAAAATAGTCATGTTGTGGATAATAATTTTGTATTTAGCAATCGAAAGTCCAAATGAGCCAACATTCGGTACAACTTCGTATTTGTTAATGCCGTAGATTTATCCTTCTTTCACCTTGTCTACCCATTTTTTCACATTAGCCCCACGAATAAGTCCAGTGTATCGTCCACCCTACAACAAAAAATTAAGTGAAATATAAGTATTAAAGTTATTATATTAATTTTTGAAACTAATAAAGATATTATTATTAGTATTATATATATAAGACCAGGAATAGCAAAATAAAATTTAAATTAATATTAATATTATTATTAGGATTTGTATTATTATATATATAAGAACACAAATTGTAAAACATAAAATATATTAATATTAGTATTGGTATTAGTTTTATTATATAAGAACACGAATTGCAAAAAAAAAAAAAAAAA